AGCCAAGAGTTCACTTCTGGAAACTTCCATCAGGGCATGAGGGGATGATTCATGCTAGGTGGAAATGTCCTGAGACCTCAGATGAGCCGATATCCATGTGCATCCCTCAGTTTGCCCTGTGTCCAAGTTGGGGTCTCCAGAGACTCTCTGTGTGTGTGTGTGTGTGTGTGTGTGTGTGTGTGTGTGTGTTGGGTGCTGTCCCCCCTTACAGCCAGGCTCAGGTGACTGGGGCTGGGGCTGGTGGCATTTGGAAGGGCCACTGGGTTAGTGAATCATACATAGGAAGCCCCAGCCCTGTCCAGCCCCACTCAGTGGCTGGGCACTGTCATCTCATACCTCCAGCAGCCCCGGGGTGTCACCAGCTAGAACAAGCGTGGCCCTTTCTACGGGAAGAAGGTGACCGCTCTCAGGCAGCAGGATCGTGCTGCTCACCCCTAGTGTACAGAGGGGTGACGTGGGACCCGAAGAGGAGCCACGATTTCCCCAGAGCCCCATGGTCGCCTCGTGACAGGGTCAGACGGGATTCCTGGCTGATGTCCTCCCCTGCCCCACAGCACTGGACTCTCCTTGTGTGTCGTTTTGAAGTTTCTCAAAGCAGATGAGCCCCTTCTCAGAGCCTCCCAGGGCTTTCCCAAAGTGCTCAGAAAAAAAAAAAAAAGAAATTCCCCAGGTTTCCAAACAGCCCAGCCTCCACAACCTCTCCCCACAGCCCGGCCTCCACTTCTGCCTCTTCTCCCTCCACCCATCCCTCTGCTTCAACCAGATCAGCCTTCATGCTGACATCGCTGGCTCTTCCCTCCCGCCAGGCCTGTGCAAGGCCCTGTGAGACAGCTAACGTCATTGACTTTGTCATCCTGCTGCTGGCCAGCCTAACCCATGAGACCCGGGACAGGAGGAGCCACAGACACGTCTGCAGGCTCCTCTTGAGGAGGCCAAGGCGTAGGGTGAGGGTGGGGTGGATGTGGAGCATGGCGGCACCTGCTGAGGGGGCTCCTGCCTGGAGAAGGCCAGGCTGGTGGGAGGAGCCACCCTGAGCCCTACCTGAGAAGGAGAAAGCCTCTTTCCCTGTAATCCACAGCCTTCACCCAGGGACCTGCCAGGGAGCAGGGAGCAGGCCAGCTATAGCAAGACCCCCCAGGTGGCTGTCCCTCATACCTCTTCCCAGAGGTTTAGCCACCCCTCTCTCTCTCACACACACACTCAAAACAACAACACACACATATACTGTGTTAGTCAGCTTTCTGTGACTGTGACAAAATATCTGAGAAAATTTACTTAAAGGAGAAAAGTTTTGTTTTAAGCCCAGGGTTTCAGAGGTTTCATTCCTTGGTCACTTGTCTCCATTGTTTCTTGACCTGACATGAGGCAGAACATCATGGGGAAAGGGCATGGTGAGCAAAGCTGCCCACCCCACAGCAGCTGGGAAGTAGAGAGACAGAGAGGAAGGGGCTGCGGACCTACCTCCCAGTAGGTCGTTCAATTATGAACCCATCGATGGATTGATTAGTCTATTGATGAGGTCAGAGCCCTCCTGACCTACCACTTCCCAAAAGTCCCACCTCTGATCATTGCTGCACTGGCGAGCAAGACTTCAACACACAAGCCTGGGGACATTCCAGATCCAAACTATAACATACACATGCACACACCACACACACCACAACATATGCACATACACACACCACAATACACGAACACACTACACATGCACACACACCACACACCACAACGTACACACACCTACAAGCACATGCATACATACTATACATGCACACACACCTCCCACATATCCATATACCACACATACACACACATGTGTGGAACAACACACATACCCACATATTCACTTGCACACAATACACAAACCACCCACACATACATATACACAAACTGTATGCATACATTCTCTTCTCTCTCTCTCTCTCTCTCTCTCTCTCTCTCTCACACACACACACACACACACACACACTCACACACAGGATGGTCCTGTGGGGCAGGCAGTAGAGTAGCCTCACCCTCCCTCCATATGTGGGTCTGGTTAAGTCTTAGAGCTCACGCTATTCGGGCTCTTGGCTGCTCTTTGGACCTGGCCGAAGTCGCATTGACCCTGAATCCGGAGCAGAGCATCATCTCAGCTCCCAGCAGGACTGGGGGTGGTCTGGGTTCTGGTGGATTAAGCTTCTGCAGAAGGAAGACAGGGAAAGATGGGGCACCCTGGGGAGCTGGGGAGGGGATGACCTCTGGGAGTTCTGGGCTTCATGCAGCGTTCTGGGGTTGCCGTGAGGAGATGGTGCCTGCAAAGCACTATCTGTTAACCATAGTCCGTAAGCAAGGCGCGAAGGGAGGACCCTGGGGATCAGCGACACCCACCCTGCAGTTGTCCCGGAGTGTCCCTGTGGCTAGGCAGAGGGAAAAGCCTAGGAGCAAATGGATCCACTTCCTGGCTGTCATTTTTCAGCTCTGTGACCTTGGGCAAGACCTTGACTCGCCCTTGACCTTTATTTGCATCTATGAAAGGGCACTGCAGCACCTACTCCAGCTGCTTCAGAAATACTGTTCGTGAAAGCAACTTTTATTTTGTTAGTAATACTGTATTCTGGTCTCCTCGGATGTGTTGTGATGTTTTGTTTCTTAAAGGCTCTTTTAAGACTGGGGATGTAGTTCAGTGCATCTGCCTAGCATGCTCAAAGCCCTGGATTCCATCCTAGCATCATTTTTTTAAAGGCACTTTCCTGTACATTTAAAAAGTGGGCACTGCTTACTGCTGGCTGCTTGGAGATGCAGGAGAGTCCAAGTGGTCCTGGTGTGGAGACTGGCCCACCCTTGACTCTCCAGCCTCCCAAGGGCCTGGAGGGTGAGCATCTTGTCCCTTGCCTCTCAGCGAGTAAATTCATAGTTTGTGAACCCTGAGTGCTCCGAACACTGGGGCGAATTGTCATTGTCAGTGGTGACACTTGTTGAGTGCCTCTTACTGCAAAGGCTCCGGGCAGAGCCCCTTCACATTAGCTTTGTGCACCTGCACAGCCTTCCAGGTAGCCGCCGCTCCCCATGTTCAGATGAGCAGATGGAGACTGGGACAGGTGTGAGGCTTGTCCAATCCATGCACCTGGAGGCTATCTCTGACTCCCAGGGTCCACGGCCTCCACAGCACTTGGTTGTCCTGTCACAGTGGCTGAGTCACAGTCACACTCTCAGGCTCACCTGTTCAGAGACTGGGGTCAGAGGGAGAGGAGGCACCAGAAGTCAACGGTTCTCAAAGCAAAGCCAGGCCAGAGGGCTGGATGCCTGCCATTACATCTGCTGACCACTTCCTTCTTGAGTCCAACATTGGCAAGTTGATTTAAGCACAGGGAGAAGATTTACTTTTTTCCTAGTCCCTATGGAAAGGACCAGAATGGTGGAATTATGAAGATAAAATTGAATACATCAATAAGTAAAGTTGAGACTCAGTAGAAAAGTTTCCTCCCGTTAAAAACCCATAGCGTCCAACCCAAGGGTCTGTTGACAGATGATGGACAAACAAAATGTCATCGACACATAATGGAATAATATGTAGCCTTTAAAAGGAAGGAAACTGTGACACTTGCTACCATTTAGTTGGACCTTGAGGACATTATGCCCAGTGAAATTACCCAAGCACTAAAGAACGAGTACTGTCGATTCCACCGATAGGAAGCACCCAGTGTAGACAGATCCACTGGGACAGAAGGCAGAATGACAGCTACCAGGAGTGGGGGAGGGGGAATTGGGGTCTAATGGGTGCAGGGTCTCAGTTGGGGATGAGGAGAAAGTTCTAAAAATGGGTGGTAGCCGTGGCTATACAATATGGCTGTCCTTAATGTCACTGAACATGGTTACAATGGTAAGTTCTATATTATGTGTGTTTTAATACATACTATGATATAATACAAGGAAAGAATTTATAGTGTTTACAGTACAGTGTTAGAATCTATTTGCAGAGAAACGGCAGCCTTATTTTTATACATTACTACGGGATGCCTAGTCGTCAGCTGACCTGCACATACGCAAAAAAGAAAAAGAAAAAAAAAATAGACCAATCACATCTCTTTCAATTATTCAGACATCCAGACTCAACACGGCTCCGCTGGCCTGTGGCCTTCAGACCGAGGGAAAGTCAACTGAGAAATCTCTCCTTTCCCAGTCTAACTACTTTTTAAAGAGCCCTGTTTCCCTAAAGCCTGTAATTATGTTTGCCTCCAGGGTATACCCAGGCATTTTTTTTTTAAATAAGCAAAGAGCATCCTACAATTATCATGATGATTTGTTGAGCACAGGCCAAAGGCAGACAGCAGGCTGACTCAGCTCTGCAGACTGACACGCACGTGTTGGCGATCTCAATCCTGCAGGCCCCGCCAGTGTGCGCGGGTCGATAATTAATATTAAGAGCTGGAAAATGAACAGATCCACACAGACGTCTGCACTATGCTGCCCACAAGATGGGTCAGGCAGCAAGCAGGTGGGTGGGATGTGGCCTTCCTGAGCCTGGCTGTCCCCTCGGAGCCGGCCCTCCCTCCGCAGATGGTCCTAGGTGAACGTTTCCAGCCTGTGTGAGTGCGTGGCAGCATCCAGATGTTGTCACCCGGTGCTGCTGCTAGAGCCACACGCAGCCGAGGCCGGGGTGGGCAGAGGCTGGCGGAGTTGGAGCCTGTCAACTCTGTCAGCCCTGATTTGCGGGCTGAGCCTGGTTTCGTGGCCCTGCCTGTAATCTCCCCGAGTTCAAAGAGCGCTGAGCTGCTTGTCTTTGTCAAGAGCGCGGTTGGGGATCTTTTATGTGGAAGATGTAGGATTCTCGGGCCGACTTTGATTATTTATTCATCCCCCTCGGTGGGTGTGTGATAGCACGGGCACCACGCAACCCCTTGTCCTGGCTACTCTTGCTCTGAAATTCATCGAGCTTAAAGCCCTTTGAACATTGCTTTTCGAGGGAGGGGAAAAGTTTTTGAAGTCCTGTCTCTCTCTCTCTCTCTCCCCCTCCGCAGTGCCACAGCACCTCTTGCCGCCGTTCCATGCACCTTTGCCGATTGACATGCGACATCAAGAGGGAAGGTACCATTACGAACCTCACTCTGTCCACAGCGTGCACGGGTAAGTCCTGCCTCGGTCCTGCTGCTCCACGGAGGCCCCCTCCCCAGCAGTCTCAGCTGTCACTCTTGCCTCTGTCCTCCTTTATGGAGTTCCTGCTCTGTGCAGTCCCCAGTGGGCATGCACCTTTGCCACCCATGAGTGGGAACGTGTGAGCCGGAGGTACACACGCACCAGCCACCCTTCTGGTGCCTCCTGAGAAGGAAGCTTGGCTCACCTCCCGACATTCTTTCTCAGACTCTATAGACTTCCTAGGGGACCTCCCTGCTTTACCCAGCCACGACGTGAGTCCCCTCCCGGCTCAAAAACCTGGATGAGGAAGGTGACCTTGGATATGTGCTGTCCCAACAGAACCTTCAGAGGACTCCCTTTTACGATCTCAACTCTTCCACTTTGGACAGTATATTTCGTGGGCACCCAGCCATACGGGCAAGCTCAAAGCAATGCTCTGGGGTCTCTTCCTATTCCCGGGCCTTGAGATCTCCAGGTCAAAGGGGCATGTCTCAGTAAGTCCAGCCCTGCTCCTGTCCATTCCCACCTGGGACCTCTAAGCCCCTGGTTCATGTCCGTTTTCTTGGTCTTTATGACTCGAGGCTCGGTACCTCTCTACCCCCTTCATTCTTCTTCTAGAAGAGAGGTGCCAATGTCTCCACTGTGGTCCCCACTCCTACCTGTAAGGGGAGCTTCTATGAAGGATCAACTGGCCCCGAAGGCCCTGCTGACCACACCCCTCTAGTCACCTTACCTGGTTCCAACACACACCCCCCTGCCTCCCATCTCTGCCATGCTCCTGCTTGCCCATCCCATCTAGAAGATCCCTTCCACCTGACCACCTCTAAGCCTCAGCTCTGGAGTCACCTCCTGCAGGGGTTACTGGGTACCCCACATTGAGTGGGGCCCCATGCTGGTTCCCTCGACACTATCACCCCAGCGTGAGCCGCTTGCTTAGCTGCCTTCCAGCAGGCTCTGAGCGTCCCTTGGACTTCTGACAGCTGACATACAGCAGGTCAATGCTAGTTGAGTGGACAGCCCTCTCCACGTGTGCACCTCATGGAGGCAAGTCCTCCTACCTCTCCCATCTCCTGTCGGAATGAAGTCAAGAGGCATTTGCTGAATGCTCCCTCCATTCCAAGGGTTGTGCCCAAGAAGTACACAGCCAGCCCTCGATGTCACCTGTTTGGGGAAACCTATTGCTTCCCCAGGACGGAACAAACCTGGGACTTTTTATTTTCTTTTCTAAAATATTTTTTTTTTACTTTTTAATATTTTACTTTGAAATAAGTCCAGACATGCAAAAGCAGTTGCAAAAAATCATAAAGGATTTCCTGTATGCACTCCATCCGGCTCTTTAAATGTAAACATCTTACATAACCAAAGACTGACACAAGGCTGTGCACGAACCTACCCCTTTTATCCACATGTGGCTGGGTGCCCACGAACGTCTTTTTTCCTGGTTTGGAAGCCAGCCCTAGGTGCCCCAATGCCTTTGGTGATTGTACATTCTTCACCATCTTTCGTCTGGGTGGATCTGGTGTCCCTCTTTGTCTTTTATGACTTGGACACTTTTGAAGAAGGTGGACCAGTTACTGCATATGCCTCTCAGTTTGAGTTAAGCTGATATTGCTCACAGTTTTGTTCAGATGATGCATTTGGAGGAAATAATATCGTAAAAGTGATGTTGTGTGTGCTTTACAGCACATGGTATCAGGAGGCACTGGAAATGTGGGTCATTTGCTTAAGGCAGTGTCTTCGGGATGATCTGCTCTAAAGTTGTTACCTTTGTAGTTGTTAAGTGTCTGGCTGGACAATACTTGGGGACTGTGTGTATACCCCATTTCTTATCACTTTTATGCACATACTTAAATATCCATGAAAGATTCTTGCCAGAAACTGTAATGATTAGTGTTTGGCACATGATGTTCTGTTTCCGTCGCTCCCTCTGTGTGTATTGATGGGAATTCTACTGTAAGGAAGAACTGTCCTTCCTTCCATGTTTTCTTTATTTGATTATTCATTGGACACATGGATATTCATATTATTCTATGGATAATACTCAGTATTTATTGTATTGTTCAGACTGTCCTATGTTTGGCCATTGGGAGTTTTTTCCAATTGTCCTGTGTGTCCTTTTGACATATTGGAAACTTACCATGCTTCTTTGATGTATGTACGTGGTCCTTGAATGACTAGGATCTGCTTCAGTGCACCTGTAGGTGATGAGGCCATTACTATCCTTTGACCCCTTCCAGGGATGCTCCAGTTGCAGGTGGCTGTGACCACAGCCCAAGCAGCTTCTGGAAAGTGCGAATGTTTGGAACTAGTTGAATCACCTGAAWATTGAACATTTGGTGGCATCTGAAAATCCTAGGAGCTCAGTTTCAACCTGAGATGGAGTTTGTGCTGCTGATTTTCCTGCTCTTGAGAAATGTTTGGCTGGCTCAGGGGCACCGATCCTGGGCACAGCAAGCCAAGTGTCGCTTGCACATGGTCCTAGTGTTGGGCGGAAGTGTGGACAATGCTGAGAGATCTCTGGGGTGGGATCCACAATCTGTTTAACATGTTCTCAGGTAAATGCTCTGAAGCCTGGGTCTTGAAATGCTCTGCTTGTAGACAGAGCCCTGCCACTGAATGAGAAGTCCCTCAGTGCTGACACTCACTAGGCAGGCAGGTGGTCATGGGCTGGGGCTTCTTTCTGGGCTTTGCCTTTCTCTGGTGCTGGGTTGGACAGTCAGATGCCATGTCTGGACCTGCTTCCTTCCTGGCCAGGGAAGACAGAGTGCCAACAGAGCCTGGGGCAGGAGAAAGCTCATGGTGGCCACTGGCAGCCTAGATTGAATGGTAGTATGAGTTATTAGTGGCTGCTATAACAAACTGTCACCAACTGAGTGACTTAAACCAATACAAATGTATAATCACAGTGTTCGGAAGGCCAGAAATTCAAACTCACTCTGATGGAGCTAAAATCAAGTGTTGGTTCCTCCTGGGGGCGGATGAGGAGAATCTGTTTCTTTAGCTTTACTAGTTGTGGACGCCTCCTGCATTCCTTGGCTTGCAACCCTGAGGTCACATCATACCACCTTTTCTTCTCTTTGTCTTCTCATTTCTTCTTCTGAAGCAGTTTTCTCTCTGCCTCTCTCTTATCAGGATTTGCGATTGTTTTTAAGGCCCACCCAGCTATCCAGGATCATCCTTCCATCTCAAGATCCTTAACACTGCAAAGTCCCTTGTGCTATTGAGGGTAATAYAGGCTGTGAGGATTAGGACATGGTCATCCTGGGGGACCATTACCTGGTACACTTGGGATCACCAGACCCTAGTGAGGAGTCTGGCTCCATCCAGTCGCATAAAGGGTGTTGATCATTTTGCACAGATCTGCAGCAGGCACCGCAGTGAGCCTGATATGCAGATTAATCTTCCCGGTTGCCCCGGGAGATGGGGTTAGAAGCTTGGTCTTGCAGATACAGTCCTGAAGCTCAGAGAGGGGTGGTGGCTTCCACAGGATGCCTGCAAGGTGGGCGTGCTGGCTTCTCTCAGCGCTGGGGAGAGCAGTCTCTCAGGTACAGCTCCCCTCCCCAAGACAGGAAGGGGTGGTCTGCTCAAGCCCCCATTGACTCTGTCCTGCTAGGGGTGGCTTCCTTGGGACAGTAGGGTCCCACTCAGGCCAAAGGGTGAGACAGTGAAAGCTTTGGGGACTGGCCCTGAGCTCTGGAGAACCCAGCTCCTCCCCTGCCCTCCCGTCAGTGCCTCAGGTGGGAACCGCACAGAGCCTCCTAGAACATGGCCCTGAGGCTCTGGCTGCCTTGATTAATGTGGTCGGAGCCTGGTGGAGCACCCCGATCCATCAAGCCCATGTTGTGGCCTGCTCCTCTTTGCTGGCATCAAGTGTGTCTAATTGCACAAATGTTACACAGCAAATGAGGTCCAGTGTCATCTCTTTGCACAAGTCTGAGCCTCTGCCTGCTGCTGGGAGTATCAGGGGTGCACCCACCAGTCTGCCCTTGTCCCCTCCTGCCCCCCACTGCTCGGGCATCAAGACCTCTCCCCAGGGCTCTCAGGATCCTGAGATCTCTAGGGATGGAGCACCCCAGGGTGTGCAGGCTCTGGGGCCCCTCATGCCTCCCCTGTGCCCACAGAAGCGCTCCACTCAGTGCCCCAGAGCCTGCTGGGCTGGCTGCACTTGAACCCYGAGCTGAATCCACCAGCTGTGGGAGAGCAGATTGACAGAAATCAACAAATTGACCAGGTTCAATTTCTTCATCGGTGAAGGGGCCAGTTCTCACAGATGATCCAGATAACACAACCGACTGAAATATTCTGAGAGTAAAATAGGACCTTGTGGAGCAAGCATTGAGAACAGTCCGGAAGCCTTCAATAGAGGTTGGTGGTTCCTATTGGTACTGCTGGTCTCCCTGCTTGCCTGTTCTAAAGACGGAGATTTGTTGCGGGCTGTGGGGTGTGTGGGGCAAAACCAAGAGACCATCCAATGGCTGGGATGTAAGATGGTGGGAAATGAGGCCAAGAGTTTACCGTTGAGGGAGGAAAGATTGGATGTCCTCCTTTGGCTCCCAGGGTCAGGAAGGAGAGCCAGATTTATTTTCAGGGAAACGGTAGAACAGTTAAGGGATGGACAGAAGGACAGAGAACTTGGCGAGGAGACCTGCCAGCAAGTTCTAGTAGCCCCACAAAGACGAGGCGCAGGGCCAGGTTGGCAACCCCGCTCTCCAAGTTCAGGCTGCTGAACGAGGGGCCACCACGCAGCCCAGCCCTGATGGTGGCTCGCTTCTAGACATGCACACCCTGCCCCTCTGCGCCCATGTCCTGGTATGTGATGAGTCCCGGCTGATTGGCCAGAATGAACTTGTGTCCTGGAAGGAGCAATGGAAGTCCATGTTCCTGGCTCAGGGTCGATCTTCAGCTCTTGATGTGGCTTAGTGGGTCGAGCCTAGGCCTGCCCTGCCCTGCCCTGCCTTGGGCTTCAGAAAAGACCAACTCCAGCTACCTTC